GAGGGTGCGCCTATCTGGGTCAAGGTTTAGGAGTACTACTTATTGTATTAATCATGTTTCTGTTAGTACTAGAATTAATATTATAAATGTCTACCCTACAATGTATGTAATGGATTTTCCATTAAATAAATAAATTAAATAGTAAAAAAAGTCCTCCTGGGCCAATCTTGGTGATAACCAGTGTTGCCAGTCTATTACAATTGTAACAGATCTGTTACTTTTTAGAGGAGTTTATTACCTTTTTACCTTTTTTAAAATTCTATTACCTTTTTTTTATATGTTTTATTATGCAGTTTCTGTTCGTTTTAAGATGAGAATCGTAGGGCCTGTCCAAATCATTATCCAAATATGTAGGTCCTATATCTTTAGTTTATGGCCGTTTGCACCGACCATATGAAGGAAGGTTCAACGATAGCTATAGCTTAAAATGACGTTTTTACATGTAAAAATGTCATTTTAAGCTATGCTCAATTTTTTTTTTTTCACGAATCACGAGTTTTATTTTTTATAGAAGAATTAACACTATTAAAAGTTAATATCAAATATTATTTATTCATGATATGATCAAAAAAAAAGTTACATGAAGTTCCAGATATGTAGCCAGCTTTAAAAAAATCTATTACCATTTTTTCAAATCTATTACCATTTTTAAGACGAACCTGTTACTCTTCATGAAAGCAACCTGGCAACACAGGTGATAACATGAAGGAATAAAGTTATGAATTTTAGGTAGTCAGGTACAGGGGTAGGTAGTATTGGTTAAGGTAATAAAATTAGGACTAGGTACATGTTTCATTAGGATAGAGGAATATATTATACCACCAATATAGGTGGAAGTATTTAAGATGTTGCCACTTTTACCACTCCGTGTTCTTCTAATAACTTCATATTATTTAACTATTTTCCTAGGATTCCTTGAAGGGTTTGCCACAACCTAGTGAAGAGCTTATACGCCATTTCAGAATCACCCTGTAAAATAGATGAATACTTATTTAAAACAATAGGCTCCTTGCATCAAATTTTTTTATTGCTGATTTCGATAGTCCATGAAAAATAAGTCAACACGTATTTTTTCTTTTTCTTCTTAGTCAGAAATTGACGGAGCTACAACACTATGAAATCTGCCTATGACGTCACTTATCATATAAATTAGTGATGTTGCACATGTTCAGTATATCTATATATACAAAACTTAATATTTGTATAACTTCCGGAATAATCATATTTGGGCGAAATAAAAAAAAAAAGTAACGAATTTTTTTTTTCGATTTCCTACAGTTTGCAATAAACAATAATCAATTTAATTTTCCATGCAAGTACCCTATTATAGCTCCTCATCTGCATTTTTGCCCAACAGTATTATTCCTAATGAACAACTGAAATAGATGTTATGCAAAAGAAACAGAATATAGCTTTGCGGATCATTTTAACAAATATACTGGCCAATCTCCCAACACTAAAATAAACAATCACTCAAAATACATTATTTATTTATGAAATTTTAAATTATTTAGTGAGTGCCCGGATACCTATCTTCTAAAAACTTGTAAATTTGTTAAAATAATTCAAAATCATGGATTTTTACAACTTTTACATAAGAAGTCAATACAAATTTTAGTCAAAACAAGTTATTCTTTAAGGGTTTAAAATTAAAATTAATACAATGAACTGCCAAATGCAGTTAGGTGCTGTGATAGGGAATTTACTTAGTATGATTTAAAAAACTATGTAGTGCATATATTATTTTAAGCAACACATTTTAATATATACTTATGATATTTGTAAATTGATGTAGATTTTGATTAGATGCATGAAATATTTGATTAATAATAATAATAAGTATGTATTTGTTTTGTATGCTTTCTAGCCAAGTACTTCAAAAAAACTACTATTATTTAACCTTCCATTAGTGGCGTGTGTACCTGAGAGATAAATGCTTATTATCTTTGCAAATAAATCAAAAAGGAAAAACCCTATAATATTATGGCTTGCAGTAGTCCTTAGGTACCCTATACTAATTTCTTTCCCAGAATTACTTAGTTGTACCTCTACCTGAAAATTTTGAATTTTACTCTGGGTATGCTCAGTTTTGTACCTGACTGATACAACGCGACTCTTCTTATTACCACCGGTGCTCCTCAATTGTAAATGTTTTCCTGATATGTGAATATAATTTTTTCTATATATATACGTTATGGTACATGAGGTTGTTCAGCTTAGGTGAAGATGGAACTCGATGAGACAAAATTCCTCCCAAGCTGACTCAGACGAGACTACATAATTACTACGTTTTCATGGAGTTTTCAAATCGTTTTGAATCCAATCCTCTTTCCCGTTTTCATGCAGAGGCAAAATTAGAATTGAAATCGAATTGCATGTTTCTGAATTTAAATCCCGATACGATCCCAAAAAAAGGTGAAACGACCTTGAGACTGAAATCGATTTCAGTACCTGTTTTCATAAATAAATAATAAATAAATAAACTTTATTAACGGACAAGCCATTTACAGTAAATAACATAATACAAAACTATATGACGTTATAATATTAACGAAAAACACAAGAACTTAAAATTTAACATTTACGGTACATATAAATACACTGACATTTAGCGCTGCAGACTATTTAACAAATGTTTACAAGTTTTCAGAGACATGCCAAAAAAATCAAAATTGTTGGGTAGCTGATTAGCTTCTCTGCATATTCTAGCCATAGGGCAGAAAAAACCATAATTAGTCCTATGATACTAGCTATGAAAAAGATGCACTTGCCTAGTCTGTCTCACAGGGGCACGCAGGGAAATGCTGTTCAACAAAGGGGGACAGTCAATTAAGTTATTAAGCAACTTGAAAAGTAAACAAATATCATAATTCCTTCTACGTGCCTCTAAACTAGAAAGACCCAGCAACCGCAACAGGTCATTGTAGCAGACCTCTTCTGATGGTATATGCATCTTATAGGCAATATACCTTAGAAACCGTTTCTGAACTCTCTCAACACAATTTATATGGACCCCATAATGTGGTGACCAAATTGGGGTAGCATATTCCAAAAGGGATCTCACTACAGAACAGTAAACGCTCCTTATAGTAAAAATATTATTAAAATCTTTGAGGGTGCGAAATACAAATCCCAAAAGTTTCATTGCCCTATTACAAATATTCTCAATATGTAAGTTAAATGTTAGGTCCTGTCTAAATGTAACTCCCAAATCCTTAATAGAGTCCACTCTTTCAACTACTTGATCATTTAATTTATATTCATAAAAAATTGATGCATGAGATTTAGAAAAGGTTATGGTTTTACATTTATTTAAATTAAGGATTAGGTCATTCAGGTGACACCACAGAGCAAAACAATTCAGGTCTAGTTGTAACTGCTTACAGTCTGATATGCACTTAACAGGCCTATACAACTTCAAATCGTCTGCATACAACAATATGTCACTGTGATGGATAAAATCTTCAACATCATTAATATAGCAATTAAATAGCAAGGGAGAAAGATGTCCTCCTTGAGGAACACCAGATACGACATTTATTGGAAATGAAATAAAATTTTTAATTCTGACGTATTGTACTCTACCGCCCAGAAAGCTATTTATTCATGCCAAAAAAGTCCCCCGAATGCCCAAGGCCTCTAATTTTTTTGTAAGTATAGATATATTAACCTTATCAAAAGCCTTACTGAAGTCAGTGCTGATGGAATCTACTTGAGTTCCCAATTCTACAGCATTAACAAGATTATCTTGATATAATAAGAGGTTAGAAATAGTTGATTTTCCTTTAATGAATCCATGTTGAGCAGTCGAGAGAACATTTCTAAAGCATGGGGAGATTTTTTCAGTCACAATACACTCAAAAACCTTTGGAATAACCGACAATTTACTTATTGGGCGATAGTTTGATATGTCTGCTTTATTGCCAGCTTTAAAAATAGGCGTAAGAAAACTTTCCTTCCATTTTTCAGGAAAAATACCCTTTGACAATGACTTATTAAATATTCTGACAAGAACTTCAGACAAAACACATTTAGAATTTTTTAGAAAGTAAACTGGAATGCTATCTGGCCCGCATCCCAAACCATCATCCAAATTACCTATACAATTAAATACATCCATCAAACTTATATTACAAAAAAACAAATCTACAGTCTTAGAATACTGGAAATCAATGTATTTCTCTCTATGATTTACATATGCCAACGAGAAATGTTATGCAAATAAATTAGCAATTTTTTGAGGGCAGTCCGATTTCTCCTCACCATAAAACATATATTTAGGCAGTTCAGTACTATCCTTTTTGGAATTTACATATCTCCAAAAGTCCCTTTTGGATTGAATATTATTCTCGAGTTCATTTATATAATTAATATGGCTATCTTTTACTAGTTCTTTGCATTTTTGCCTAAGGTTTGAGAGCGTTCATGGCGTTTTCAATACCAAAACCGTATTCAAAATGATTTCAAAACTCCATGAAAACGTAGTAAATATTAACTATGTTTTCATGGAGTTTTCAAATCGTTTTGAATCCAATCCTCTTCTCCGTTTTCATGCAGAGGCCAAATTAGAATTGAAATCGGATTGCATGTTTTTGAATTTAAATCTCGATACGATCCCAAAAAAAGGTGGAACGACCTTGAGACTGAAATCGATTTCAGTACCTGTTTTCATGACGTTTTCAATACCAAAACCATTTTCAAAACGATTTCAAAACTCCATGAAAACGTAGTAATAATGCTAAAGCTGCCGGGCGTTGTTGATTGAACTGCAACGACAGCGAAATAGAATTCAACTTCTTGAATCTCTTTTTCAATGAAAATATTTTATCTTTGATTGTTGAGTACACGAATCAATACATAGAAATTGTAAAACCGAAATTCATCAGATTGTTTATGTGACTAATGATGTTATAGAAACTCACGCGCCTTAATGGAAGGTTAGGGGGGGCTGCTGAACTACTATTATAACTTCAATAAAAGAAATAAAATAACATTTTTACCTGTGGGTCTGACTTCAAAGACGGGCTCAACTTTAGTTTTCTGGCAATACTGATGCAAAAAGGATTTTGCATCCCCCATGTTTCTGCTTGCACTGCACTCTTCAAAAATCGGACAAAGGACGACGAAACTGAGACAAGGGACAAGTACCAAATTAATCACAAGTCTACAAGACACAGAAATACGAAATATTCATACAGAAATTATCAAAATTTTATAATAACTATTTTATTCCTATTTCTAGGAAGGATTGGATGATAGATTTTTAAATGAAGAATGAAGCCAAGCCAAACGATTGAAAAAGCCGAGCCGGCATGAGTACGTCTTCTGTCACCAAAACTGCCAGATTGACTATTGACATCTGACATCACTAGAGAAGCTTTTCAATTTCAAACCGTGAACCAGAACTGAATGTACTCGGAGCAAAAAGTGTCGCACCAATTTTTCAATAGATTCGAAAAGCTGCACTGAAAAAGATCAATGCAATGGTTGATGGTTGTATGGGCGCTTTCTTTTATTCAGCGGTGGATCCATCAGTAATTAGCCTTTCTTTGTCTAGCTCATAGAAAATAGGAATGTCTGTCCTATAATGATGGCAGCAGATGGATCCATTCCCATTGCTGAATAAAAGAACGCGCCCTATTTAATATGCATGTCTTTTTAGGGCGTGTTTGGGTTGACGCTCGGCGGAGCGAGCAGAGCGATTACGGAGTAACGTGACGTCACAGGGAGTACACCGTGTCAATCCAAATAACGTCGTGCTAAAGAGCTGGGTTGAGCGATCAGCTGATTATTGTTTATTTTTTTTAGGATATATTTTTTGGAGTCTGAAACCGCATTCCGCATTTGCACCAGAGTTTTCTCTTTTGTTTTTATTTTAGTCGATAATTTTCAAACTGCCCCATTACCTTTTGTGTTCTGCTAAAAATGTCGTGCTACATAAACAATAAAACGGACCTAAACACTCTGAGGTTGCCAAGTTCCCTTCAAAAAATATTTTTACTAATACCAGTGATGAGGAGTACCGAGAAAATTCAATTAAAAGTAAACAATTATGCTTAGTTATTTGATTGTCAACATTTAAACAGAATAGGTAAAACCATTGGGTAAAACTATCCAGCTAACAAATTTATATGTTAAAATTCAGGATTGTTCATTTATTACGGAAAATAGGTTAGGTTATACAGACAACAGACAGATTAAAACACATCTGATCTGCGCATGCACGCTCCAGCTGGCCACTCCACAAACTCGGGGTTTATCGAGCTCGCTCTGAGCGTCAAACCAAACACAATCAAGCGTTGTCGGTCAAAAATAACGGAAAAGGACAAAAGTGCAAGCTCCGAGTGCACCGAGCGTGAACCCAAACGCGCCCTTAAGCTACATCCTCAATCAATCTGGTAGCGAAGTGGCACTTCGGCACGTGTGCTGGGAAATTCATACCCTTCCTCAATGCTGTCAATTTTCTGTCTGCTATGCGTGTAGTACGGTCACGAACTGTGCGTTCGGTATTTTGATCTGAGTTCTCCGAGCATAAAATTACCGTTCGTTTATTTAAAAAGTGTACTAGGTGCAGGCACATTCACGTTCGTTTGTTGAAATTTCGAGCCCTCTGATACACGTTTAACTGCTCTATGCATTTGCTGGTCACGTGATTAAAGCTCCGCTCTGCTCTTCGAGCAAAATATCGACGCAAGGATAACCTGAATTATTTTTTACCATACTGCGCATGACACGTGTCGGCACGCATCGAAAAAGCTTGCAGCTTGCACTTCAAAGTCAGCGTGCATTGCGTGCATGCTAGCACGGAATTGAATTGAGGATGCCAACGTTAAACCACATTATCCTAGCATGCGTGCCGAAGTGCCACTTCGCTACCAGATTGATTGAGGATGGGCCTTTAGAGTAAATGGAGTAACTACGTTCGAGGATTTTCAGAGTAAGTAGAGTAGCTGTTAGAGTCAATTGAAAACCTCATTTTCCAGACAAATAATGACAGTTGACAGTTGACGCCTTGTAGAAATAGAAAAAGGTGAAAGTGAAAAGCTCAAATTGTTTTGCAAAAAAAAGTTGAACATTTTATTTTTATCTGAAGAAAACGTAATAAACAAAATTTCAAAACGTATAATTTTTCAAATTGTTATTTTCATACGAGAAAATGGAAGAGGAAAATGCCACCATAGAAATCGTAGATATAGATGATGAGGGAGTCCAAACAGTTAGAAACGAGCCCATAATCAACATAGTCCTGGCACCAGAATGTGTACAAAATACCAACGCCTTAAATGGAAACATACCACTGTTCATCAGAAAGCTTTGGAAAATGGTCAACGACGATAACATTGAGGATATCATAGGCTGGAACGAAAACGGTGACGGTTTCATCATCCACGATCAGTTAGAATTCATTTCCAAAACCCTCACCAAATATTTCAAGCACAATCAGTTGTCCAGTTTTGTGAGGCAATTGAATTTGTATGATTTCCATAAGACACAACAGGTGGAAAGGGAGGAGTTGGAATTCAGCCATCCGTTTTTCCTTAGAGATTGTATACAGCTTTTGCCGATGATTAAAAGAAAGGTACAAACAGGTAAGCAGCTAAGCAATATTCTATTCTATTATCATGGACTTTTTAGTACAAAATATAGTTTTGGCCTAGTTATAATGAGCTAATTTATAATATTTGAGCTCTAAAAGACTTGAAATCCTTACTTCTACACAGGGTTGAAAAAATTCATGAACAAAAAAAAAGAAAAGTCAAAAAATCACATTTTTCTAATCTAAATTGGATGGTTTTATTCTGGGTTTTATTAATATCTGAATTATCATAGTAACAAAGTTAAAACAGTAGGTAAATCATTTCATTATTATTGAAAGACTCAGTAATATTAATAATAAGTAGCTACCAGGAGGGATATACCTAATCAAAATACAAATTTATCATTAATATGGAGGTACTCACTTATGTATTAATTGAGGTATTGATATGATTAATAACATAACTAAATTAAAGTTAAACTTAAGCAAACAGTAATTTCTAAAAACATAAATAAAAGTATCTTGAAAAATATACAATAGGAAGGTGTAGGAATCTACCTATCTATATCTAAGTATAATGAGTGTAGGTATTCGTGACTGCTGGGGGTCAATTTTTGACCGTTCGCAAATATAGAAACGTATGTAGATTGTTCCTAAATCTGCGAACAGTCACAAGTTCCGATTTTTGGCCGTTCGCAAAGTTTCGTATGCGCATATTTTCATTCGCTTTTCTGCGAGCGGTATTCTAGTCGCCTAATTCGGTTTGCGTATTCGTTTTTCTTGTGTCAAGTGGGGATGTTAGGTTGTTTTTTCTTGTCAATTTGTTTGATAGCTATTTTATTATTGGATTATTGTGTATCTACTACCTCTGTATCTGGGAGGGTGGTATATAAGGTATGCTACAGCACTTAGGCCACAATTATGCCCATTGTGCGCCTCCACACTTCACAAGAGGAGAGGTCATCATCAGCTCGTCACCCAGCCTAGCGATTCTACGTAGGCGATGACGTCGCTGAAGGCGGTGCCTCAGATCTCTTCTAGTGATTGGTACGATTGGCCTAATCTGGCTCTGAGTATTGGCGAAAGAGCAGTGCAGTCACAGAGAATGTCCTTTATCGTCTTGTCTTCTTGATTACAAGGTGTATTGACTATAATATGGAAATTTTGATGAATGTGCTGGCAATTCATTATTTGGAAAACGCAGAGATACGAAATCGACGCAACCATCGACATAACCGCCGGCGTGATCCATTCGTACAGCTAAACCAAAGGGCCTATTTCTCAAAAGCGAGTCACCGGGTTGGTTTTAACTCTAGGTTAAACGTGTCCAGTTGCAATGTTTACCCTGGAGTTATGCTTAACCCGGGGATGACTTGCTATTGAGAAACCGGCCCAAAGACAGTTTATTAAAGGGTGTTGCTTGTTCTACCTCGAAAAATTAGGAAGATCTGCTAGGAGCTGCTATTTATGAGCTTATATGAGACAGGTGAACGCTGATCTGCTGCTGAGATCTGCTTGAAGCAGGAAAAGCAGTACAAATTACAAATAAACACCCTATTAATATGTTCTGATTGTCGAAAGAGCTTGTTAGTTATTTGGTTGAATGTTTAGAACCTCATACATGTCTGGCACAACGACCAACAGATTTAGATGTCTTGACTAAAGTAGGAAATGAATTTTATTTAGAAGGTTGTTGTGCAATGTTTGTTTTGTTATACAGTTAGTTTAATGCGGTACTACTCATGGGTCTTGATTACGCGTTGAAATTTTTCGCAAGCCGTAGCTATCAACCGGATTAGCTGCTTTTCACTGGCATTCGCACCCCTTTTCTTTTAGTTTTTGTCACTGGCTTTCTTCCATAATTTACCACTATCGTAAACATCCATAATTCGTCAAATATTCAAAAAGGCAAAAACACGTCAAAAATTTGTCAAACATTCTAAAATTTCCGACGTTGCCAAATCAATTATACATATGTTTACGAATTCGCAATATCTACATTGAGGCATCCAACATGGCGCCTGCGGGTGGTGATGTTTTAGATACGGACGGGAAAAAATGCAAGTACTGCAAATCCGGTGTTGAAAAAAGTTTTTTGAAGTGCAATTTATGTAATGTTTACTACCACCAATCATGTGCCCTAAGAATCTCGGGGCGAGTAGTCACTAGTGGAAGTAAAAATCTAATTAACTGTGCGACATGTGCCAAGGTCGTACGGGACACGGAGGTAAACAAAGTTGTGAATGAAGCTATTTCCGCCAAAGAAGACGAGATTCTGAACCTAAAATCGCAAATAGAAGTGTACGAGGATGAAAAAGTGAAGTATCTTGAACTTAAAAATGAACTCCAAGGAAAAATCTTCTCTCTTGAAAGTATGGTTTCTCCTGCAACCACCCCACCTGTGAAAGCGAAAAGCGACGACAGGGCTCTTGAAACAGAGTTGAGGAGCTTAAGGAGCGAGTATGAAATGTCGAAGAAGTTGCTCGCATCGTTGGAGTACACAGTTGAACTCCAAAAATGCGTAATCTCAACCTTTAAAGGAATAAGTGAGGAAAACATAAACATTGCTTCCATGACCTCTCAGATGTGTCAGAGTTGAAAGTTGTAAATAGTATTAAAAGGTTGAAGCCTAAAAAATCGACAGGGCCTGATCAGATCCCTGCCTATATTTATAAAGGATTGGCTGAGTTCATAGCTCTACCGCTCAAACATATTTTCAATCTTTCTATTGGAAGTGGACAATTTCCTGATGCCTTGAAGAATGCTCAGATTACACCTATTTTCAAGAAAGGACGAAAGGACGAAATTAGGAACTATAGACCGATTTGCCTCATTAATATTTTAGCAAAAATTTTTGAAACAATACTTTATGATGATCTTTCAGACTTTCTAAAACCTAAAATTTCTAAATACCAGCATGGATTCTTAAATGATAAGTCAACAATAACAAACCTCTCTATATTCTCGGAAATGGCGGCTGAGGCGATCGCGAATAAGAGCCAGTTGGACGTCATTTACACAGATTGTGAGAAGGCTTTTGACAGGGTGGACCATGAGTTGCTGCTTTGCAAGCTTGCTGAGTTTGGGGTGTCAGAGGATGCTTACCATCTTGTGAGGTCATACCTAATAGGCAGGGTCCAGACAGTGAGGGTCGGCGCTTGCAACTCTGAGGCGTTTGTTGCAACCTCAGGTGTCCCGCAGGGTAGTAAACTGGGCCCTCTTTTCTTTTTGTGTTTCATCAATTCATTGCCTGACTGCCTGAGGGACTCTATGGGACTTCTCTTTGCTGATGACTTCAAGCTCTGTAGGATTGTTGAGCGGCAGGAGGACTGCAGAAGGCTTCAGGGTGACATGGATAGGGTGATGGACTGGTTCAACAACAACAGAATGTCCCTAAATGTTAATAAGTGTTCTGTTGTCAGCTTTACGAGACGAACAAACCCAATAGAAGAAACATACAAGATTGGTGATACTGAGCTTGATCGTCAAACAGAGGTGAAGGATTTGGGTGTCTTTTTCCAGGCCAACATGAAGTTCAATAAGCATTTTCATCATGCTGTCAATAAAGCAGTAAAAGCACTTGGCTTTGTAATCAGGAATAGTAAGAACTTTAAAATAAGTACAATTATTAACTTGTATAATGCTCTGGTGAGACCACACCTTGAATATGCATCACACATTTGGATGCCATTGGAAGCCACGCATATTAATGAAATTGAAAAAGTGCAGAAGAGATTTTTGCGGTATCTCTATGTGGTTAAAAATAATATTTACCCATATATGGTTCCTTACAGGGATATGCTTGTTAGTTTTGAGATAAAGTCATTAGTGGAAAGAAGGAATAATCAGGCTGTGATATTTTTGTTTTATATTTTAAACAACCTAAAGTATAAGGATTGTAATTTAATTAACTATGTCTCCTTAATTGTACCAAAGATTAACTTAAGAATTATGAAAAACAAGAAATACTTTGGTACTGATCCTAGTAATAATATGTCACCATTTAATCGCATGATGACAGTTGCGAACCAAGCACTTAATGAGGTCCAGGTAGATCTTTTTAATGTAACTTTCAATCAATTGAAGGCCCTTTTAAATTAGTCATATATGTTTATATTGTGTACTCTATCTTTATTTCTGTGTTTTACACTTCGCTGTTTTAACTTTACATGTAATTACTATTTTTGGTGTTTGTAAAGTAATGAAATAAATAAATAAATAAATAAATAAATAAATAAATCTATGTTTATCCATTTACGCACACCGGTCAAAAATGGGTTTATAGATACGTATACGTTTTAGTACGGGATACGAGGCCTATTTCATCAAATCATTTTACACCGTCTTGCATTGTTATCATCAGTTAGATAACATGGTACTGAAACGCACTTGTGCAGGGAAATAGATAGGAGTGGGGGATTTCGCTGAAAAAAATGTTTCAGAAAATGTCATCATAAACGAGGAAAATATTTAATTATACACCGTCTTGCATTTATTTATTGAGTTAATTTGTACATAAACAAAATTGGATTAACACATGCAAGACATTTTCATGGGGGTTTTGGGGTTGTAATATAAGATGGAAATTGTCAATTTTTGAGAGGGGTGAAATATCATTTTACACCACTCCATTGTTGATTTATATCAAAGCTTGAATGTAGAATAGCCACTGGATACTGATACAAGACGTCCTGTAGAGGGATAACGGGCTGCAAGACGGATGTCAATGTGTTGTCTCATGAGGGAGTGAAAAATTATTTTACACCACTTCATGCTTATGTCCGCCGAAAGAATCTATGTTAAGAAATGGTATTACATCAGTCCAAGACGTTTTTTCTGGGAAAAAAGTTAAAAAATCCATTTTAATTTTTTCACTGAACTGTTGAGTTATTTACTGAACCGTTCAATGTTTATTCTTTTTTAAATCATACAGATGAAAAAGGACAGTTGACATAGCAGCTCAACAGGGGAGTCTGTTGAATACAGGAATTATAATTTTTGTTTACAATTTCAGACAGATCATTTGTTGTGTCATTTTCACATTTTTTTGCT